AAGAACCTTTTGTTTGTTTGGCCGTTTGTTACCCTGGGAGGGGTTAAGGTTTAGTGAGTCACTTGGCCAGAGGGCTCAGCTGTGGCACCACCTCCAGCCTGTGTGGGAAGGCAGCAGGGGCCCACCAGGGAGGGGGCAACTGCAGCAGGGAGCAGAGGCGCGAAGGCAGTGCCACATTCGGGGGAGGGATAGCTCAGTGGTTTGAGCATTGGCCTGCTAAACCCAGGGTTGTGAGTTCAATCCTTGAGGGGGCCACTTAGGGATCTGGGGCAAAATCAGTACTTGGTCCTGCTAGTGAAGGCAGGGGACTGGACTCGATGACCTTTCAAGGTCCCTTCCAGTTCTAGGAGATGGGATATCTCCATTAATTAATTAATTTATTTATTTAATTTATTAGGTCAGCAGGAGTTGCTACAGGGTAGCCACGCCTGTGACACAAACCCTTCAAGATTTTCCAGTTAATATTTATTTAACCACCGTCCCCAAGCAGCATGAAGATGAGCCAGGGTTGCTGCTTTCTATGCGAGCGAGTGGTGCTTCAAACAACCACGAACGAGTTCCCTGGACACCATGAGAAACAAAGGAAGATGACAAATTCCCTGCCTCCTATAGGCTATGTCTGCACTTAAACGACTACAGCGGCCCAACTGCAGGGTAGACCCTCACTACGACGACGGGAGGAGTTCTCCGATCGCTGTAGGTGATCCACCTCCCCAAGAGGAGACCGCTAGGTTGGCTGAAGAATTCTTCTGTCGGCCTAGCACTGTCTATGCTGCTGCTGAGGTCGGCTTAACTACGTCACTCAGGGGTGTGGATTTTTCACATCCCTGAGCAAGGTAGTTGGGTTGACCTAATATTTTAGTGTAGGCCTGGCCTGAGTCACTGAGGAGACCTGTGTGTTTGTGTTACTAAAGAACAGGGGCAAAGCTTTTGTCCACCATTGCTCTGCCCAAATCCCTTGTTTCTGGGCATGCACCGGTAAAGCTGCAGGAACATACAAGAACCGTGTCATCCTCTGCTCTCAGCTGATCCCTGTGTTAGGCCAGATGGGCCAGAGTTTCAGCTGATGTAAATATCGGTGTAGCTCCACTGACTTCAGCGCAACTCCATCTGTTTACACCAGATCCGGCCTGGCAGTGCTGCCAACCCTAAATGTTCAGAAATCGCGATCAGGCCTTAAAAATCACGAGATTATCTTGAAAAGAATGATTGAAAAATATTAAGTCTTAGACGTTCTTTTCATTTGCCTCCTGTCATTCGTGAGCTTGGGAGTCACATTTTCAAGCTTTTTCTGCACCCACAGTGGCCAGAAGTTTATTTTTTCAGAACCAGAAAGGAGTTCCCGGCCGTAACAGCGGCAGAGCCGGTGTGTCGCTGTGACGAACTGGGACTGTTCTTACTGTGGTCTTTGAATGCTGAGTGGGGAGTGTTGGCTGGGAAGGCAGGGGAGTGTGGCTAGGACGGTCTGCATTGGGGGATGGGAGACTGGCCGTGAGGGAGAATACCTGAGCATGTAACATGAGAACCCAGGAAGGGGTTAGAGGCCAGGTGACACCTTTGCCCGGGAAACTGAACAAAGGCTGTGGGAGGGGACGCTGGGGGGAGAGTTTCAGAGCTGGCTGGTGGAATGGCTGGGAGGCAGACGGGGCTCTGACCCCCCAAGGGGGCTGTGGTGCCGTGGGACCCTAAGATGCATCTAATTGGGGGGGGATCCTGTTGTCTGTGCCTGCAAGACCTGTCTTGGACTGTGTTCCTGTCGTCTAAATAAACCTTCTGCTTTACTGGCTGGATGAGAGTCATGGTGAATCGCAGGAAGCCGGGGGTGCAGGGCCTTGTGTCCCCCCACACTCCGTGACAGTCGCTATAATGAAAGCTGAGATTCTCAGGTAATAACCTGATTCCAACAGTTGGGCCTTCATGAAAAACACCAAATAATGGAAGAGTTGCAACAGTAAGTCCTTCCAGTTCTTTGCAGTAATTCACGGCTTGTTTTATCATTACAAACCAGTCAGATCTCCCAAGCTAAGCAGGATTGAGCTAGATCAACACTTGGATGAGAGACCTTGGTGATTCATACATCCAAAGGGATGGATCTGCCAGGCTTACAGGGGTCAAGCAGTCACCTGTCCCAGCTGTGGATCCACTATACCAACCCACTTCCTTCACACGCCGTGTGGAAGTACGGCCAGATCTGTTGCAAGCAGGGATGTCAACAGAACAGCACCTTCCACCAGTTCTAATTTCAATCCTACATATTTAGCTTCCCCAGTGGCACAACATACACCTGCACTGTCTACACAACGCAACACGTACGCCTCACTGTGTTTTATACACCTGCCCCTCGTCGTCCCGTTCTAGGCGGCGTTAGCCAAAAGGGCTGGCGCACTCACAGAAGTCACAATGCGAGCGGCAACAGTCACTCCGCTGGCCAACAAAACTCTCACACGTGCACCCAGATACCATGGGGACGGGCACCTTGTATGCGTGGGTAATAATAATAAATGATGATGATTCATAACTGACGGGGCAGGCCCATGGCTGTTTTGAGGAGAGAGTTTATCACCGCAAGCTCTTCAGCTCTTGCGCTGTCACCGGTGAGCTTCAAAACAAGTCTAATAACACCTTGTAATCGGTCCAGGGAAAAAGTCAAGCTCCTCTACATTCTGGCTGCATTCAGGTATCTTAATAAGACTCTGTGGACTTCTCACTACGTTCTGCAGACTAGAGCACTTCCCTGAGGAGGGCTTATTACACCTCATTGTGGGGACTGGTCCCTAGGGCCCTGTTTCCTTTCTTTTAACGTTACCGTTTCATGAATTAGTCATGTCACAGGCACTCGTGGCCTCTCCCCCACGTGAAAGCTACTCTCCCTTTATAGATGCATTATGGGAGGAAATAAGCAGGGGTCAGGCTTTAGGATGCTGTGTGGAGTTGCAGGGCGATTCTGCTGATTCACCCTGGCAATCAAACCAGATGGGGCTCATTAGCTCCAGCTTTACTAAGGCCTGCCCTACCCCTAAAACCTAGAGCACCAGGGCATCCTTAGGCCTCCGTTGCTGCTTGCTCAGTCACATGGGGTCTGAAGAGTGACACAAGGTTCTTCTTCCTGTTCAGATAGTTTTACTGCAGGATAAATGTGTAAATGCTAGGAAAGAAAGCAGAAGCCAGAGATTCCCTGGGCAACAAGGGCTTGCTGTTTTTTCTCCTCTAGGGCACTTATGAAGCTAAGTCCTATGTAAAGTGATCCTGCCACACTGATAAGAGCTGCACAGAGACCTTAGAGAGATGCAGGGTAAATAGCAAGTGACTGTCTCAGCCTGTTTCCAGCAGAGCTCTTTGAAGCGGTGACTGATTAAGATTCCTGCTGCGACGGAAGTGAGGGGATTTGAAATGTCTTGATCAGGTTGTTCTTCACCTCCCAGCTGGGTGGGTCTTCATGGGAAAGGTCAGAGGAAATAACTCAGGTTTGAAGTTAAAGCCCATTACTTCTAAATAAGAGCGTCCACACAGGGGTTTACTGCGCTTTAACGTCACACCTTTAGTTAATTCATCTTCACTTTCCTGAGCGTCCCCATGTACACAAGCCCAAAGCGGGGCCAAAAATGCATGATGTGTCTAGACACGTAGATTTCTTCCTCCAAGGTGGGATGTTTGAGTCCACAATGGGCTCTCTCTAGTCATCTTAGGCCTGGTCTACACTTCAGAATTACATTGGCCTAGCTACATTGTGAAAACTGTCATGCCCCAAGCACCGTAGTTAGATCAAAGTAGAATCCAGCGTAGATGCAGCCAGGTCGACGGAAGAATTCTTCTGTCAACTTAGCTCCCGCCTCTCGGAGAGATGGATTAACCGCATCAGCGGAACCCTCCCCCAGGAAGCATCTATAGTACGGCCCTACAGCAGCCGGTAGTGCAGACAAATCCTTCGGATCTCCCAGAATGCTCATCACCGTCATCTCTTAGTGCCAGTATTCGGGCTTTATACAGCGCTCAGCATGATCAAAGCCCTGTACGGACCTCAGCTAATAAATCCGAATTCATTACAGGCTTTGCTGGTTCCCAAGCAGGTCACGTTTCAGGGGCAGAGGATTAGAGAACGAATAATTAATCAGGGGCAAAAAGGTTAAATTCTTTTCCCTTTCCTCACTCTGGAACTTTGTAGGCCCGAAGGACCTTTACCCCACTCCACATCCCAGCACCTCCATCGGGGCTGCTTGCTTAGCTGAAACCCCTCTTGCCTCTCCAGACAGCAACCTGACAGTCGCTTTCGGAGGGCAGCCCTCACCTACCTTGCCGTGGATTAGCTGGCAGTGGGGAGAGGGGTGTTTCTGTCCATGCTGCCCTTCAAGCCCCAAGGCCGGACATACATCTCCCCAGACCCCAGCTACAAGCTGTGTCATTCATTTCAGACCCATTTTCCAACATCCCTGTTTATTACTGTCACTTGCAGGCATCACCTATGCTGGTTGCAGAACTGAGCTCATAGAGAACTTGACACCCATTCAAGAAATTAATCCTGCTCGGTGCCTCCGCCGGGCCTGCAATCTGAGGGTTGCAAACCCGTCTACAAACACAGCGGAGCTGAGCCTCACAACCCCCCATGGGGAAGGGGGCGGCGGAAGGGTCCTTATCCCTGTCTTTAGTGATGGGTCCAAACTGGATCCAAACCTCCCCGCTTTCGAGGGGCTGCTTGGACTCAGCTCTGCTCTCTGACAGCGGCCAGCTTTGAGTGCCGGAGGGGAAGATGTAAAACACACACAAGGCACCTAATTCTGCGACACGCCAGCGGGGAAGTTCTGTCCGGACCCCACCTCATGCCCTGACACACGAGGTGTCAGAGACCTGGTCACCTGAGCCCACCTACGTTCAGTGGAGAATCCAATGTTTGGCTTTATATCCCCTGTCCCTTTTAGGGGACTGAGTCACCCCATCTAGAAACCTGTCTCTTACCTTCGATCCTTGCCAGATCAGACGCTATGAACAGGTACATAACGGGGGATTTCTGCTAATGCTCCTCCCAGCAGCACTGTGAGAAGGATCAGTGTCTTTGGGAAACGAAGTTGACTTGTACTTTTCCTGCCTCTTATTAGCCTTTTATTTACCGACAAAGCCCTGTAAGATAGGTCAGAATTTTCAAACCCGCTGCCTATCAGGCTGACCAATGTTTCCTTGTACTCCCCCTTCTGTCTGTATCCATTTGTTGTCTCGTATACTGAGATTGCCCAATCTCTGGGGCAGAGACCGTCTTTTTGCTCTGTGTTTGGACAGCACCATGGGGTCTTCGTCCAGGAAGGGGGCTCCTCGGCTCTCCGAGAATACAAATAAACAATAATCATTCATTCATAATAAATCAGAGCGAGCTAAAATGGTGCTAGCTTTGACCTCTGCTCTGAGCCATGTTATCGCTCAGAGATTATCTCGGACAAGTCATTCTGAAAAATTAGGAACAACAAAATGACTGGTTCCTAGAACTACTGTTCTGCCTTCCCTCGGCAGATTCTTCTGCCATGGCACATGTCAGGCAGACCTTGTACCGTAATGCTGACACAGGAATTACCGTAACTGGCGGGTTCTCCTTGACATTCATGTGTGCAACGCCCATTTGTTATGTTCCTCTTTTATGTCAGTGGGAAGAGTGGGTTGCTGCTCTCTGCATTCAAAGCTCAGATGAATGAACAGATAGAGAAACGCAGTGTTGCCAACTCTTGCGGTTTGATCACAAGTCTCGTGATATTTGGTGTTTTTAACTACCCTCTCTCCCCCCGCCCCCAGCTGCTGGATTTAAGAGATTGCAGGGGAATCTCAGCTTTTATTTACCCCCCCCCCCAGCAAAGCGCGCTAGGGAACTTTTAGTGTGCAGCAACAGGGTCCACCCGGACAATTAGTGCGTGGCACTCTGGTGCGCTGTTGAGTTACATCTCAGCTTGCCATACTCCGTGCCGTAAGCATGTGTTTAACCCCCGTGGCTGCAAAGAGAAGGTTGGAAGCGTGAAGCAAGTGGATCCAGAAGGCAAATAAGAGAGCCCAAAATTTACTATTTAAAAAAAAAAATCTCACGAATTTTAAGTCAATCTCGTGATTTTCTGGGGCTTGGCTCCGGATTTTGGCGCTCATGAGTTTGGCAATATTCCAACGCCCCAACAGAAGTGCCTCCAATTTCTGACCATAGAGGAACCATGACGTGTACACACATTAAGGGTCCCCTTCTCTTCATGGGATGCACAGCTGGGGCTCCCACTGATTTAAGAGACTCTCCCTCAGAATGTGTTGGCATTTCTGAGCTGGTGGTGGCCCTCTTGACTTCATCGTGGCACACCTGGAGCGAGGAGTAGAACTCCTGTGATAACGATTTAATGATCGTAAAAGGAGCTTTTCTACCCTGGGCATGTGCAACGGCGCATGAGATTTGCACATGCATCTGCCCCAGTTGTGTATGCAAATCTTGCAAGCCAGGCATGGCCCTTGCCAGTTAGACACACAACCTGCCATCTGCGTGTGAAACTGCCTGACTGCACTAAGCCCCACGCAGCATCCCTGCTCTAGACGCCCGATCCCCTGATATGCATGTCCCTAACGTCCCCTCATCAGTCCTCCAACATCCCTCCATGCATCAACCATCCCCCGTCTCACAATAAATAAAAACCCCGGCAATGAACACAAATGAACACTTACCAAGACTATACACCATTATCATAACTAATGATTACAAAAACTTTGGCAGGGATATTAAATCTTAATACTACCTATGGTGTCTATAGCACTTTTGAGCCATAGATCTCAAAGGAGGTGGGTATCATTATCTCCATTTTACAGGTGGGGAAACAGATACAAGGAGGAAAGTGACTTGCCCAAGGCCACCCAGCAAAGCAGTGTCAGAGCTGGGAACTGAACCAAGTTCTCCTGAGTCCCAGTCCAGTGCCCTATGCACTAGGCAGCATAAGAACATAAGAATGGCCCTACTGGGTCAGATCAAAGGTCCATCTAGTCCAGTATCCTGTCTTCTCACAGTGACCAATGCCAGGTGCCCCAGAGGGAATGAACAGAACAGGCAATCGCCAAGTGATTAATTAATTAACTTCTAACTATTAGAGACCAGGATGAGAGCTAATGTAGGGGGCAGATTCTCCCCCATCTGCTGCAGTGGGGGGAGGGGTTCTTACATCATCCTCTGAAGCATCTAGTGCTACCAGACATGCGTCTGATGAAGTGGGTATTCACCCACGAAAGCTTATGCTCCAATACGTCTGTTAGTCTATAAGGTGCCACAGGACCCTTTGTCGCTTTTTACAGATCCAGACTAACATGGCTCCCCTCTGATACTTGACACTGTCAGAGACAGGCCACTGGAAAGGATGGTCCTTGGTTCTGAGCCAGTCTGGCAACTCTTGTGCTCACCCCAAAGCTTTCTGAGCCGCCTCTCGAAGGATGTCCCCGAAGCACCTGGATGAGCGTGCAGGGGAGAAGCCTCCTGCATCTGCACCAGCAGGAGTGAGAGGAGAGTCAGGTACCCCGAGCTCTGCTGGCGGCAGGAAAAACAAACGACTGTACATTTGATGTATCATGGGGTACCAATGGTCAGCACAGCACAAGCTGACGTCCACAGGAGTTTGGACTGTAGGAGTGACATGGCACTGAAATGACATCTTGGGATTTATCTGCTATCAAATCACCCCACGGGCCAGTCTCATTGGCACCTATAGACTCCATGAGGGGAGGGTTTCTCGTCCCATCCCAGACTGAATTTGTGAATGTTCCATTTAAAAGCACTCCCGTCCCCCAGTCTCTGCCCAGACCCAGGCACAACCCCACTCCCCGGGGATCACCTGAACCTGGGACATCACACGCTGCCCAGCTGGCTGGCGCCCAGGAGAGTGAGCATGGACTTTGGTGCTGAATGGGGAGGTTAAAACCTCGCCCCAGGCGTGAGCTAAACACATTTCACACAAAGAAAAGGGAGGGTGATTTGCTGACCTCATGGAACAGTGGGAACGCCAGAAAACACACAGAGGAGTCGGGGGGGGGAGAGCCAGAGAGGATATTAAGTCATTGCCTAATGGTTTGCAGCTCATAATCCAAACTGGGGTCTGGAGGAGCAATGGTGCAGTTGCTTGGCCGCTCCCTGCCTGGGGGAGTTGACTAGTGGCAGAGCAGAGGGAAGTAGGACTCCGGGGTTCTCACCCTCACTCTGTCTAAGCCTCACTTGATGGACCCTCTGTCACAGTTCACTAGTGACGTGCTTTGAGATCACCAGATGGAAGGTCTTTCCCAGCTCCCCCAACGCTTGCTGGATCTCGCCAGACCCTGCACCCCATTCCCTCCTCAACACAGTGTTCCCTTTGCCAACAACTTGGATGAAAGTTCACTCCCCCCCCGACACACACCATGCACTGGAATGACCGGCCGTGCCGAGCCAGCCACAGCTGTCACGGGCACAAAGGGGAGAAGGGAGCCCGTCCAAGAGCGTAAGTGCTCAGTCATGCCCATGCAGCCTGGGCAGGCCTCCCAGCCCTCGGGAACGAACACCGAGCTTCGCAGCCAGAGGGAGAAGGAGAGATGGGGCCTGGGAAATATCATTCCTGCCTAAAGTCGGGGGAGCGTTTGGGCAAGATTCCGCTGCTGGGTTCACGGGAATTGCTGGGATCAGCACTACCATGGGTGCTGCAAGCCCCAGGGTGAACATGTGACCCCAGCCCTGCGGAAGGTGAAGTGACAGACCCCAGCTGCTCCAAAGCCCCTCTCAGGCTAGAGCTGCGAGGCCCCGAGTTGGCCGGGGCAGCGGGCAGTTGACACACGTGGCGTACAAAGGTATACTGATGCCAGCATCCCTGCTATGCACTAAAGGAGGAAGGCAGAGTTAGAGGGACGGTGGGGAAGTGGGTTCGGCTGCTGAGCACAGACGTCAGCCCAGCATGTGCCCAGCGGGAGGCCCTGCGTTGGTGCTGGAGGGAGCCGAGCTGAACCGAGCCGGTTCAGGGCAGGAATCTGATACCACCTCCCCACCCAACCCTGGAGATTGCCCCGTGGGCTGGCACTGGAGAAGGGAGGAGCTGGACGTGCCTTGTCCTTGCTGATGTCAGGGCCCGTGCGTATATGCCTGGGGCACAGGCTGAGATGATATCTGTGTTCAGAGGCCTTCACTCCCCAAGGTTCCTTCTGGCAGCCAGATTTATCCCCCCGGTGGTTCCGGTGCCCTTCACCCTGCCCCCCGCCCGCTGGCAGGGAGTCAGCAGCACAGAGCAGCCCTTGCTCTGGGTGATTCCCTCCTCCCCAAGCTACACCTCGTGGTCTGGAAACAAGATGGTTATTCAGCCAATTAACCCAGGTCTGTCCCTTCCCTCTGTCCCATGGGCCATGTTTCTGCAGGGATCTCTCTTCTCCCCGGTGCATTATGGGAGGCCTCCAAGGGTCTTTGCCCCCCCCCCACCCCAATGCATTATGGGAAATGTTTCCCAGGGGGCTCTCTGTTCCCCCAATGCATTACGGGGAACATTCCCCCAGCCTCAGGGGTCTCTGGTCCCCACCATATTATGAGAAATGTTTCCCTAAGCCTTGGGGATGGGTCTCTGTTTCCCCCCAATGCATTGTGGGAAATGTTTCCCCAGCCCTCAGGGGCTCTCTATTCCCCCCAGTGCACTGTGGGGAACATTGTCCTTAGCCCAGGAGCAGTTGTGCCCTCACATTATGGGGGGGGGGACAGCTTAGTGGTTTGAGTATTAGCCTGCTAAACCCAGGGGTGTGAGTTCAATCCTTGAGGGGGCCATTTAGGGATCTGGGGCAAAAATCTGTCTGGGGATTAGTCCTGCTTTGAGCAGGGGGTTGGACTAGATGACCACCTGAGATCCCTTCCAACCCTGATAGTCTATGATTATACTGTAGGAAATGTCCCCCCGTGCTTCTGACAATCCCAACTCTCTGTGCTGTCACCACAACAGTAAGAGGAAGGTAGCAAGGGAACCAATTTGTGCCAACTGAGGTGGTTGCCGTCACCGTGGGTCTCCCTAGGGTCTGGATTGAGGCCTCCCCTCTCCACCCAGGGTTACGCTGGGATAGCTGGTGTTTAGGAGAGAATTGTTCAAGGAGTTGTGCTTCTCCTCTTGAACAGTGCAAAGCTCAATGGCAACAGCATGAAACTCAGCCCCACGGAAGGCTCTAGTGCAGAAGGGACTGGGGACCCCAAATCTCTGCCTGGTAATGATCAGATGCATTGCCAAGGTGATACAAGATGCAACTGAGGTTCAGGACGACTCCGTTGCTAGAGCACCCCTGCTGGCCCACGGAGGGAGCCACTGATGGAGGCACATGAGGGAAATGTGCCTGTTGCACAGCTAGTTACAAGGGGGAGGGAAAGAGCCATTTGGATAGTCAAGTGGCTAGTGCTCGGGCATGTAGGAGACCCAGGTTTGAACCCTCATCCAGCTCTTCTGTCCACAAGTGATCAGAAGCTGTGGGTGCAAAGGCTGGGGACAGCCCAGAGCCCTGGGAGGAAAAGCCACATTCTCCTCAGCAATGACTGGTTGAGGGGAGGTTTTAGAAGGGAGCCTGTTGCATCTTCAGCCAGTGGGGAGGAGGAACGGGGTGAGGGGAAGCCATCAAGGCACTGATGAGGGTGCAATAGGATCCCCTCTCCCCCACTCAGGGAAGGAAGAAAGGCAAGGTGCTCATGATCACAAGGAGGTTCTCAGATATTCCCACCCCTCAGCGTCCCCAGCCCCTCACGCCTTCCCCCATGTGCTATTCCGGGGCTGGCCTGAGGTGCACAAGGAGACAGAGCCATGGTGACATAATTGCAGCACCAGGGGCAGGTTTAGCTCAGTGTGTTCCATTCCCAGCCTGGTCCCCACGTGAGTGGGGGCTGCACAGCCCCCATATGCTGTTAACGGGCCAGGTGAGAAACCCGATAACCCTCTCAATGTGCATGCTCAATCCATCCTTTGTCTGCACAGGCAGGTGACTGGCCTTGGTGCCCTGCTTCATTCCAGCTCCTCCTCCGGCAGAGCTCGCATAGCCCACGCATCCTGTTGAGTGGCAAAAAATTACCCTCCACCCCCGCAGATTTAACTTGTTGTTTTAACTGCGGGCCCAATAATCTGGCTCAGTCAACGTGCCGTGTGTAAACCTGGGCCTCGGAGCAGGAAGTCTACATGGAGAGAGGATTAGGAAAAGCAGTAATTTAGATAAATGCGGTGTCAATTACACAGCAGAGCTGCCAGGTTCTCAGCCAGAGGCCCGGGAATGGTCTGAGCAGGGGCGGAAGACAGGGGTAGGAGGATAGGAGTAGGGTTGCCACGTCTGAGAGGCAAAAAATGGGACATAGCAGGGGTGATCCTGAGCCCATCAACTGGACAGCGGGCAGGGTGGGCTGAGCCCCCTGACAGATTTCCCAGGACAGCTACCTCAGAGAGAGATGATCCTGGGGAAATCTGGACAGGTGGCAACCCTAACTAGGAGTGCAGGGATTTCGAGGGAGTCTGGGAGGTCTGTGTGCGGTGGGCAGGGGCGTCTGTATGGGGTGCTGAAGATAAGTCTTGCAAGATCCTGGGGTGAGTTCTCTAGGTGGGAAGGAAGGAGAAAGTCTATGTAGTGGGTGGAGTGAAGAGGTGAGAGGGGGGAGACAAGGCCCAGGAAGATCTGTAGAGGGGCTGGAGCTGGAGAGGTGTGGAGATTGGGACATCCTTATGGTAACCCTTTGTAACGATTCCTGCTACGGCTGGCCATCAAACTACCCTGCCTCTCAAAACCCAGCGGCGTGTGTAGAAGAGTGGCTCACCCCTAACTTGACCCACCATGGCTGGGGAGGGCAGGACAGACTCTGCTTTGCCTAGAGCCCTCTGCCAACAGCCCTTCCAGCCCCATAGCTGTTGCCCACCTCTTCTTGTGACTCAGCTCTCCGGCCACGTCACGTTTAGTTCCATCCCTTCCAGGATAAGCAGAGAGTCCAATAAACTAAACTCAAACGCACCCCTCCCTGGGCTCACTCCTCCAGACTCTTCGCCTCTACCCAGGCTCTGCCAGGGGGTCCTCACTACCATTTCCAGCAGGCAGTAGGGGAACCCAGGCCCTCCCTCTGCTCTGGGCTCTAGTCCAGGGACTGTGTGGTGAGCAGCTGAGGTCTGCTGTCCCAGATTCCTCTCTGCCTCCTTAAACTTCTTCCTACCTTGGCCTTCCTTCAGGCCTTTTCCCACAGCTCCTTCCTGGGCTTACCGTACAATCTGCCTGTTTCTAGGCCCTTCCTTCACTCTCTAGCGACCAGAGAGGAACTGCATAGTTCTTCCCCTCTCTCCTTGCAGCTCCTTTCTCATCTGGGTTTCCTCCCTTCATGCTCACCACCCAGCATGGGACAGCCAGGTTCTTTAACTGAACATGCTAGCTCCAGTTAACCCTCTGAGTGCCAGTGTGGAGTATATAATCCGTCACACAGTGCTTGCGTCCACCCTCCTGCAGCAGTGAGTTCCACAGGTTGATTATCTGCGGTGTGATGAGCTTATTAGTAATGACTGGTTTTATGGTATCACCTAGAGGCTTGAGATGAGGGCCCCATTGTGGTAGGTGCTGTATAAACACATAGTGAGGGACAGTGCCTACCCCAAGGTTTTTGTAATTTAAATAGATAAGTTAGACACAGGGTGGGAGAAAGGATTAATATCCCCATTTAACAGATGGGAACTGAGGTCTGGAGAAATCAAGTGACTTGCCCATGGTCACAGAGGGAGTTTGGCAGAGCTGAGTGCCAAGCCCAGTTCTTTTGAGTCCCGGTCCAGATTCATAACCACAGGGCTATCCTTTCCCTTCAGTTCCTTCTACTTGTGTTAAATGCACCTGTCATTAATTTCATAACCTGATCCCTTGTTCTTGTTTTATGGGACAGGTCAAAACAGGAGTGACCCATCTCCACAGTCCCCTTCCTAATCCTCAATGCCCAACCAAGTCTCCTATAGCTCTTGTCCTGTCTACGTTAAATAACCCTAGTGTTTGCCCTCTCATCACATGGAAGTCCGGCCCAACCTCTAACCTTCTTACCACCCCGCAAACATCTCTTATTTCAGCCAATGGGATTGCAGTATGCAGATGAATTGAGGAGGAAACCAAGAAGGCGAGGGAAGAGCTGTAGAGGTGACTTATCTCTGATGCCTCATCTTTACATCTAAGCAATATTCTATGACCCTGGGTCCTCAGCTCAAGATGAAACAGTGCATACTGGGAACAGTAGTCTCTGCATGGTACACCCCTGAATTAATGAAGGTAGATGCTGGCCATATAGTAAAACACCATTGGCAAAATCCTGACTCTGTTGAGACCAATGGAAGTTTTGCCATTGACTTTAGTGGGATCAAGAGTACACTCCATGTGTGTGATTTGGGACACATTTTATCTACCCCTGAAGCAAGGCACTGGGTAATGAGATAAGGGGAGTGAGGACTGATGGACAGACAAGACAGTAAACAGAGACTGGCTGGACAGACAGAATGGGGAAGGGACGGCTGATGGAGATACAGATTTCTTGTGTGGAGCATGAACAATGAAAAAGAACCATGCCTACCACGTTCTCCAGCTTCGCAACCTCCCTCTTGAATGTGTCCGAAGCAGAGTCGCTGTGACGGGAATAGTAGATTTCATTCACCAGCTGGAATGAGCCCATGAAATATCGACTGGTTTTAATTCCTTCAGCCTGCCCAGGGATATTTTGGGCTGAAGTTAGCTGCTGCGGAGACGTAAAATTCATGGTTAAGTATCCAGAAAGAATCCTGGCAGATCGAGAGTCTTTCACTAGCATAGGCTGTTGCCTGGGTGTTCGGATGGCAGTAGCACCTGTTAGGACCCTGGTTATGTTCACAGCAAAGGGTGACACAAGCCCAGAAAACTCTGGAAAAGAACCACAAGTTTATTTTAAAACCAGCTGTTTGTTAGAGATGGGCCCAAACCAAGATCCAGATTTGGGAGGTGGATCTTTCTGAAGTCTAACCTAGACCCAGATTTGAATTTTGCAAATACTCCCTGAGCCAAATTCTCACAGACGTAAATGGGTATAGCTCCGTTGCCTTAATAATAATAATACCTAGCTCTTATCATCATTAGATCTCAAAGTGCTTTACCAAGGAGGTCAATAGCAGTCTCCCCATTGTATAGATTACAGATGGGGAAACTGAGGCACAGAGAGGGGCAGTGACTTACCCAAGGTCACCCAGCAGGCCAGTGGCAGAGCTAAGAACAGAGCCTTGCTCTCCAGAGTCCCAAACCAGGGCCCCTACACACACTATGCCACGGCGCTAGAGCCATACTAGTTCACCTCACTGAACGTCTGGCTCCTTTCTTTGAACCCAAACCTGAGCTTTGGTGTGCTCCGACTTTGGATCCGGCTTTGGCTTGAGCCCATTTCTGCTCTGCATCTGTTTTACTGCCCAGGTTACACCTGTTTAAGTTACTGCAGGCATACGTGGTGGTGTGGGCCCAGAAGTAGTCTGCCTGTGGCTCTTTCATGGCCTCAACCAGGCTGTTCCCAACTCTGCAGCATCACTCCCCAAGATTGTTTCCTCAAAAACTTCCAATGGTAGACGTTTGTAACTTTTGCCTTTCAATTTTGCTCCCAATTTCCAGGGCCTGATTCTTCTCTCCCTTCACCCAGTTTGACACGGGGGTAACTCCATTCACTTCACTGGCGTCAGTCCTGATTTACATCAGTGTAACAGAGAGGGGAATCGGGGCTTTAGGACATGATTCTGCTCTCACAGCAGCTTTGCACTAGCTTAGCTCAACTGATTTAAACAGAGTTAGGTCTGATTCACACTGCTCCCCCCCATGCTTCATTACACAATGTAGCCCTTGCATTAAAGCTACTCTAAACTACTGAAAAGCTTTTACTATATACTCCAAGGGAAGAGACTTTATTGATTGTCATGTATCACTTATATCATCATTGAATATTATTCTTATAGATAATCTGGTTCGCTCTTCTGCACAGCCATCTCTTATTTTAAATATATAGGAATGGAGCTTCATCAGTTTACACTACCTGAGGACCTGGCACCTAATTAATGAAAATTCCTTATTGTTATTATTTAAGCACTGACAATGTGCTCAACACCAGCTTAGGATCTGTCTTCACTGCAGAGTTAACGTGAGTTCTTACTCGTGTGTTGTCCCTCACCCCATCCCGTCCACACATGAAGCCCTCTCTCCTGAGTTTAGTGGTGCTTTTCAACCCAGGTTGGCTGACCCATCCTGGGGTATAGGCTAAAACCCGAGTGAGGCTTTCACTTAGGCTTGTAACCTGTCCGCTAGGCAGTGAGGACGCAGGCTAAACCACTCGAGTGCTGACAGTCCTGCACTGCCTTCCCACAATTTTCCCAGTGTGCCCAGAAAGACAGACAGAATCTCCTACAATTCCCTGGGACTGGGCTAACTGCACTGCAGACATACTGATAAAGACAGTCTTTGCTCTGAGGAGCTTACATAACCTAAGGGCTTTACTCAGGTTGGGTAATACCATACTCTGCTCAGAAGGCCAAATCTCTCAGTAGGTACACTCCCATTCAGGGGAACTATACCATGTTACTCCAGCTGAGGCGTCTGTCCCACTGGTGTCAGTGGGCTCCTATTCAACTGGTTTAAGGGCATCAGCATCTAGCCCAAAGTGGTGAGACTGGGAGCCCGAGAGGAGGGTTTGGCATATTTTTGTCTGACTGACCTCATTCTCTTCTCTCTCTCTCCATAGGAGCGGTTGGGTGGAGAAGGCTTTTGACATGGGCGAGGGTCTGTGGGTGTTGCAGAAGAAAGGAAACAAATAGGCTACTGAAGTGGCGTTGCTGGGAGCACGATGAGCAAGGGGCAGGATAAGAGAGGAAATCCGAGGGGCAGACTAGAATGGAGGCATGCAGCGCCATGAGGGCAAGGATATGGGGCTGGAGGAGCGCCACTGACATCAGTGGGGCTATGGACCAGTTTAAACGTGATACGATGGTGAAGGGAATGGAGAGCAAGGATACACTATGAAACCCTCATGAAGATGAGGTCCTAGTTCAAGGCTATACAAACTATGGGTCTGATCCTATAAGCCAGACTCAAGTGAGCAATCCCATTGGCCAATTTGCACATGTGACTGGTGATTTGGGGGGGCCTCCGTTTTCAGGTAACCAAAGTGAAATGCCTCAAAGTGGCCTGATTTTCTGAAAATCCCCTTCCAGGTGTCTTAGGCAACGCCCGGCAACCTGACCTGAACCCATCAGGACTTCACTGCAAGTGTCCGATCTGGCTTGGGAGGCCCTCAAATCGCTGGTCACTTTTGGAAATCTTAGCCATTTCAATACACCTGATTCCCCTCGGCGTGTCTGAAAGCCTGCTCCTCTGTGGAGTGAGGCCCTTACCTAGAAAATACCACAGCACCGTGAAGACTGATGCTATCAGGATGAGCAGGACGAATCCACCGACCACCTTGATGCAGTAGTAGCAGCAACGCGTGGACCTCCTCTTGGACTATGGAAATCATCACCAGAACGATCTGGTTTGTTCATGCTCCAGATAAGAACCTTGCCCCAGACCCTGATGGAGAAAACATCACAGCCAGGCTAGCTAAGTAACACAATAGCATGTCTGAACATGCACTGGGCCTCACAAACTACCTGGGAAAACTGGCTCAGGAGTACGATGAGGCAGGATGAGCTGGTGCCTAGAGCATGGGACTGAGACTTGGCCAATCTGGGTTCAAAGCCTGGCTTTGCCACAGCATTCCTGTGTGACCTTGCCCAAGTCACTGCCTTTCACTCTGTGCCTCAGTGTCCCTGTGCCCAAGATGGGGATAACCCTACTCATTTAAAAGTACAATGAAAAGGTGGGAAATGTCTTGGGGATGTATAAATACAGGCAGGTACAGTAGTTAAGGTAATCTATATACATATGCTATTACTACTTTTACTTTTACAGTTCAAATGTTCGCTCAGTGACAATATTGACTTGCTGGACACATCTCTGACCATGAAAATTCATCTTAAACATGCTAATAACGACCTTAACCAGAAGAAGAGCTCTGTGAGACTCAAAAGCTCATCTCTCACCAAAAGAAGTTGGTCCAATACAAGATATTACCTCCCCGACCTTGTCTGGTCTCAACCTTACCTCTGACCCGCAAGGTGAATTTATGAATTCTTTCAACGATGTGTCATCAATATGTGTGTGTATTTGAATATATAAAGGATGTAATTAGTAATATATGTACTGTAAGAGTTCGTAAGTATCTCTGCTAGAGGGTATTATCAGCAGGTGTAAGTTGAATTTTCACATGCCAGTAGTGGCATTGAATGACTGTATCAACTACAAAGATAATGGTATACTTAACAAGTCAAAGTCATTGCCTATCCTTTCAAGTGCTGAAGATTTTTTTGAATGGTAATCATAGACTATCAGGGTTGGAAGGGACCTCAGGAGGTCATGTAGTCCAACCCCCTGCTCAAAGCAGGACCAATCCCAGACCCCTAAATGGCTCCCTTAAGGATTAAACTCATAACCCTGGGTTTAGCAGGCCAATGCTCAAACCACTGAGCGCTCTCTCTCTCTCTCTCTCTCTCTCTCTCTCTCTCTCACACACACACACACACACACACACACACACACACACACGGCACTTTGATGACAGTGTTTTGCCTAAGGGTTACATTAATCATTTCACTTTAAGTTATTGAATGTTTAATAAAATATGACTCCCTCATGTTACTATGGATCACAGCACCAAAGTACAACTGACAAGTGTCTGTGATTGGTATTAAAGTCATGGCTAATGTCTCCCATTGTGCAGACCATAGCGAGAGACAGGCACTGCCCTAAAGAGCGTACAGTCTAAATGGACAAGACAGACAAAGGAAGTATCATTATCCCCATTTTACAGACTGAGGGTATGTCCACACACAAATCAGTCTGAGCAAGCGCTCAGGAACTGGGTCCTACGGACCCTGCTGGGAGGTGGGTCAGAGCCTGAGTCTCGCTGTAACTCGGGTCCAAGCCCTGTCATTTTGCAGTGTGGATGCAAGTCAAGCCACAGACCTCAGTCAGAAGGTCTGCGTAGTGCAGTGTGGACGCGTTAGCACGGCTGTGAGAGCTGGGTCCGACAATTCTAAACCCAGGTTTACAATGCAGTGTGAACCCTCAAGTGCAGGCTTGGAAACACTGAGTCCACAAACCTGGGTCCCCGAGCCCTGGGTTTACGATCAGTGTAGACATACCCGTAGAGACTTGCCCAAAATCGCACAGCGAGTCTGTGGTAGGCTAAGGAATTGGAGCCAGATCTCCTGAGTCCCAGTCCAGGGCTTTAACCACAAGACTATTCCTCCTCATTGAAAAGTATAAGATCCCAAGAGGGTAGGGATAGATTGCAAGGGGCACAATCTGGCCCCATGTATGTTACACCAACTTAGATTGCTTTGTCTCTAAAACTTCCTTGTCTAGACCTACACCCCCACATTGCTACAGGTAGGGCATGTCTGCACTACAAGCACTAAACCCTGGTGCACCGACGCTGCTGTCATGTAAACACTTGCTACAGGCACAGAAGGAGTTCTTCTTTGCGGTGGGAAATACACCCCCTCCAAAGGCAGGTAGCTAGGTCAAGAGAAGAATTCTCCGATGCAGTGACAACGGCAGAGAAGGAGGGCGTCTCGGAGTGGGGAGGATGTGTAGACTGAGGGTTCTATCCTGCCGCGTCAGCCTAGCGTTGTCTGCACTGGGGTTGAGGTCAGCTTAACTGAGTCTCACAAGGGGGTGAATTTTTCACAGCCCTCAGCAACGAATTTAGGTCGACCTACATTTTAGGTGTAGAACAGGCCTTAATTTACACTCCGTTATTACACAATCCCTCTGAACGTGGCCCAGAGTCTAGCGGAATGGAAAGAAAGTGAAGTAGGTGTAAGAAAAGCAACTACAAAAAGGTGTGACCAGGTGCAAGGTAAAGTAGCTCCCATCCTGCTTAAACTTATATCTCCTCTGGCTCCTCAGCAGGTATATTACACTCTTACTCATCAGGAAGTAGGTAGAAGTAGGTTTAAGGGAATCCGATTATGAGTGTAACTTACCCGGCCTTACACAATCCCTCTGGATTTGGCTGCTTCCCCAGGAGTGAGCAGCTCCTGCAGTCCAAAGCTGAGTGGCGTAAAAAAATAGACAAGCAAAATTGCAAATTCGCCCAGAGGCCCCAATCCCATAGCTGGATCTCGGTGCATTGACCATGGCTCCCGTCTGGATCCAGCTGCTAGATGGGGACCTTAAAACAGAGAAGTTGCTTTCCTGGCATGTGTGGGAGGCAGATAACCCACTGACCTTGGCAGCGTGAGGGGGCGGGTGTTTGGAAGGATGGCACAGCCCCTACTTTTCAAGCTTCCCCCTTGACAGCAGGAATGCAAGTGAGCCTCTTCCCTGCCTTTTCATTTTGGAATATACATCATTACCAGCCCCATAACTACCCCCTCACTGCTGACTCCACTCAGCCTGCGCCCCACACAAGGGACTTTTTCCTATTACAGTAAACTATTTGCATCAGGAATTCTGAGTCATGAAGCTGAGGTCAGAGACAATGGGGCTTATTTCACTGCAGACACCCCTGAGCTCCAGCTCTTAACTTTGCATGTGTCCCACCGTTGTATTCCAACATCTGGAGGGGTGTAGGCTCCCATCTGCCCCAGGCTATGACGTGTCTCAGAGCCCTCTATCTTATCTGGCTGCTGTTACTCATTCCCATGCAGCTTCGGAGCCCCTGTCTTCTCTACCTCTTCTCCTGAACCAAGGACGCACCAGCAGAACTTATTTTTTGGCTCAGTGGCTGAACTAAAAACTAAACTAAACAAAAAAATGTTAGTTTCAGGTTGATCCAATATGAAAAAAAATCTGTTTTTTTTGGCACACTGCAAGGGTCAAAAAATGTGGTTTGTTTGACCTGAAACGACATGTTTCATTTCATTTTGGAGGGTTATTTTTTTTTTAAACTTTTTTTTTGTTTTAATGAAACCGAAGTCAAATTTGAAATGAAAAGTTGTTGCCAATAAAAAATTCAAAATGTGGCATTTGGAAACGGTCGAAACAAACCGTTCCCATTTTGGTTTGGGGGGGGTTTTTTTTTTTTTTCCCCCTGACTGAAATAATTTGGCGGATTCAACCCCGATTCTTGACCCGAATCTGCATCGTTCAGCAGAAAAAGTTTCATCTGAAAAATGTCTCCCGGCTCTGCTCGGCAGAGGGGGAAATAGTGGATGAATGGTGGGGAAATACAGGCCTCAGTGGGGTAAAACTTGAGCACCCAAATCAGCACGTAACCAGGGGAGCTGTGGAGCCCTGCTTCCCAGGGGGCTCGGAGCCCAGGGCTCAGCATGAGGGAGGGGGAACATGGGGTAAAATCCAGAGCCTACTGAAGCCAATGGGAGTTTTGCCATGAACTTCAGTGGGGCTAGGATTCCCCCCTCACCTCTGGGCTCACTGGGGTGGGCAGCAGGACAGGGAGCTCTGAGCGCCGCACTCGTCAGCAGGGAAGCATGGAGCCATAAAGCTTTATTACAAAAGCTTTGTCATCCACCTCTATCGCTTTGTGCTTCTAGGCCACTTTTCCCTTATCCCCACAGCCCCTTTCCCCTTCCCCCCCAGCCTTGCCGGACCTTCCCTGACCAGACTCCCAGCCAGCCCATTACATAAGAGGCTGAGGAATTGCTTGTTTGTGTCTTGGCATTTATACAGCCACACACTGAAATGTTGAGAACGCCAAGGCAGGCCGAAAATGGCAGCGAGCCAGGAGGTGAAAACTGTGCAATGCGCCTAGCACAGCATGGAGAGCGGGTCCCCGATCTAATCTAGGGTTACCATACGTCCGGATTTTCCCGGACATGTCCGGCTTTTTGGGCCTCAAATCCCCGTCCGGGGGGAAATCCCAAAAAGCCGAACATGTC